ATTATTACCTGCCAGGATATATTTTGGCTCTCCACTAAGCCAGTCTATGAGATCAACAGCTAGATGTAGCTTTATAAATTATTCTTTAACTAGGCTTTTTGACAGAGTTTACCATTTTCCATAGTCTATTAAATAAACAGATAGCTAAAGGGGAACAAAGATTCTTTTGAATAAATTTTGCTGTATGTACTAAAAAAATAAACCCAAACTTCAGTATTTTATCCTTCAATTGGAAAAGGATGTGATAGGAAATACAATTAGCAGGTATTGTTTTTCAGCATAGCTGCTATTAGATTACAAAAGCAATAAGCACATATTCAATTTCTCCACTTGTAAGAACTGCTATAAATATTTACCACTTTCTTCGCACAAGGGAACAGGCATAGCTTCAGTCATTTCAAGACCCAAAACAGCTTCTTATGAAGATAGGTTCTAAAAAAAGCAAAGTAAAGCAAAACCCAAAGGAATAGATTAAATGAAAGTGTTCCAGTTGCTTATAGCAATCCTACTGCAGAGAAGACAAAATATTTTTGATATAACACTGTGCATTTCACAGCCTTACCATCCATCATTCTGTTTCTGTATTGACTTCGGTGGAGCTGTTCTTATTTGGCTTGCACGTTATTCACATAAAGCTTTCTAGATTTCTATTTGGCCTTGTCCCTATGCACCATACTAGAAAAGATAGATAATATTTTTTTGAAAGCTTTTTTAAAAAAGCCTCATGCTGTATACCTACAGGCCTCCCTTTTTTTCCAAGATAGCTATATGATTCGTAGAGCAGGAATACAAGTGTTCCAAAATTAACAGTCGCTATGATTATATACATCTGAGTCTGGATTTTAATCACTTGACTCACACAGATTCCAGCCATTACATTAATAACAGAGTTTCATATTGAAATATAGCAATTGCATAGCTGCGTTCTTAGTTTCAATTTCCTGTACTATTCCAGACCAGAAACATTTTTCTCTAGTTTCACTAGGGTTTTGCAGTGCATATGCAAAAACTGTCATCGTTGTCTTCTCCGCTCTTTACTCAGTGTACATACCAACAGTTCCCAAATTACAAGTATTCCTTGGAGTCATTCTTAAAATAAATAAAAAAAGGGGTGGGGAGAAGAAGGGAGAAGGATCCCCTTATTATACAGAGAAATATAATAGTATCTTTGTCTGATAAAAGTCTTCTCTGACAGAAATCAATACAAAGGATAAGAAATCAAGATGAGGTTTTTATTACCAGAGATAGCCTCAAGAATCACAGGGGAGAGCCTAACACACAGGCTTTGCTGTAATGTATCTTATGCCCTCTAGCTGTAACAAATTATGCTGTGAATTTCTTGGAGGATTTATATGCTGCTGCTCAGTGCTCTGGGGAGCTTTTAATCAGTGCCATTGCTGACCTAATAACAGGGGATCTAAGTAATAGCAACTTTTATGTATGTTATGTGTTATTCCCACAGATTTGGGGATTGGTTTTCTGGAGGAAGGAGGAGGCGAGGGGTAAATGTGCTTTCATAATAGGTTTACACTTTACTGATTAGCTTTGAATGATCTTCTTGCTCTGCCTGCTGACTTGAGTACTGTCAGAAAAAGAATTGGCCAAGCTTCATGGTGAGTGAACGAGACTCCTCTGAAGCAGGGGGTTCCTGCGCTTTATTTATTCATTTTGAACATTCCCGACAGCCAGCCCAGGCTTTGATGCAAAGGAAAGGAGAAAGAAATAGGAAGTGATCGTGTTATATTTCCCTTTTTCACAAGACTGTTTTGTGGAGCTGAGTTTACTGCCAATATGCCTGTTCTCGGGGCTCCCTAGGTAGCAGAGGGTGGGGAAAGAGGAGGCAAGAGGAAGATGAATGGAGAGAGAGGTTTTGCACTGAAACTCCACAGAATAGGGAAAGTATTCATTTGTGTCAGGCACTGCCCGTATCGCATTTCACACTCTGTACACACTGCTTTTTATGAAG